GGGCCCTGCCGAGTGGCATCTGGCCCCACCAAGTGAAGGCTGGCTGACGAGTGGGTTTCCCAGGCCAGCTTAGAGGTGCTGGTGGGTCCTGAGCCTGGCAGCCACCACCACCATGCACCCTGCCCTGTATAGCACCCAGGGCTGCAGCTGCACAAGCAACTGCGGGCTGGCCAGGGCGGGAGGCTGTTCTGCCCCCCTAATTTTCAGCTGCCTCTGCCATGGCCATGCCACGCTGTGCAGCTCTGGGTGGGGATCTGAAAGCTTCTGCCCCATGTGTGGAGCTCCGGCTCTAAATCCCAGACACCTTGGAAGGAAGAAGGTGCCCAGGTGGAAGGCTTCAGTTCAGGGACTGCAGCCAGAGCTTCATACTGGGGGCAGAAGCTGCTGAGCTGAAGCTCTCCTACTGCCGCCTCCCAGAGGAGTTCAGGAGTGGCAGGAATGGGCGGGGGAGTAACTGCTGCAGGCGAGGGGAAAATGGTTTGGCCCAGCAGGACTGTTTTTCTTCCCTCGCCTCCAGCTGTGGTTCCTGCCACACCGCACAGTGCTGTTTGGGGCAGGGGGAGCTTCCTTCAGCCCAGACACTTCAACCTGAGCTGGGCTGAAGGAAGCACCCTCAGCCCCAAGCGGTGCTGCATGGTGTGACAGGAGCTGCAGCTGGAGGCGAGGTGAGAAAAACAGTCCTGCCAGGCCAAGCCAGCTTCCCCTTGCCTGCAGGGGATACTCCTACTCCCATTCCTGCTGCTCCTGAGCCACTCCGGGAGGCGGTGGGGGGACAGGGGTGGGAGATTCAGCCCAGTGGCTTCCACCCCACACATGGCCTCCCCCTCCAAAGCATCGGGGAGCTGGAGCCACAGCTCCACGCTTGGGGCAAAAACTTCTTGCCCCCCCTCCCCACCCAGAGTTGTGTGGTGCAGCCATGACAGCAGCAGCTGGAAGTGTGGGGGGGCAGAACAGCCCCCCATTCCCCCACTCCGGCCAGCCCACAGTTGCTTGTGCAGCTGTAGCCCATGTGCTGCACAGGGCAGGGCATACGGCTGGGCTTGAGGCCTGCCAGCACCTTTGAGCTGGCCTGGGAAGCCCACTCTCCAGCCAGCCCCCACCTGGCAGGGCCCCTTGGGGGTGGGGGCAGGGACAGGGTTTATTCCCCCTCCCTCTGGCATCTGGTGGAAGGGACAGTAGGGAACTTATTCCGCCACTCGGCAGTAGTGGTTGGGGTGGGCAGACCCAGCTGTGGTCCCCCAGGGGCAGTGGGGGTAGAATATCTCCCCTTCATGCCCCCTCTGCCTCAGGTGCCATGCTGGCCCACCACTGCAGCAGTGAGGGGGGAGTACCCAGCAGACCTGGCTCAGGTCCTTGCCGGTGGGACAGGGAGGGGGGATTTAAACCCCTCTCTTCCAATTCCTGCTTGTCCCTGCTCTGGATGGGGAGCAGAGGGATGGGGCCAGTCCTGCTGGGCTGGAGCAGAGAGTCCAGCCCAGATAGTACACTGGGATGCTGGGGGACTCTGGTTTAGGTTAAACCAGGAAGGGGTCTCGAACAGACACTGCATAAACTGGCTTGAGTCAGATCAGTTAAATCTGATACTACATTCAACCAGGTTTACCTCAAACCAGTTTTGGACATTTTGAAACTGGTTTATGTGTACTGAACGTCTGTTCTGGTACAGTTTTAAACCAGTTACTGATCAGTTAAATTGGTTTATGTGTAATGTCTGTTCCTAGCCAATTAGACTACAATAAAAGCAACTTCTAAATTATACTTAGCTTGGGCAATCCTGGGATAACTGTTCAAACATACTTTACAATGTTCTGGAATAAACTGTTAATGGTTCTTATGCAGTGAACTATTTGAGGATTTACCCTGGGACAATAAACAATTGCACTTTGTCCTGGAATAAAATGGTTTATCCCAGGATAAATGTTATGCCTGTTTGTAGTACTAGAGACTCAAAAGCCAGAAGGAAAGAAAAGGTATCCTGCAATGATGGTTAGTTGTTACATGGCATGATTTTGGGTACCTGGCTCATGATTGTTGAGTTCTTGGGGGTAGCAATACTGTAAAATGATCCCATATCTTTTGTTGTTTGGCCCAGAAGTTGCTGTGAGCAGTGAAGGCAGCAAACACCCTTATATAAGCAGCTTGAGTGTGTGCACTCACTACTGCACATTGCTGACATCAGGGTAAATTAGGAGAAGAAATAACAAACCCTTGCCACAGGCAGTTTGTGTTTTGCTTGTTATGTGCTCTCTAAGTTCTGTGCATTCAGGAGTTACAAAGGTGGCACCCACACAGCTCTGCTGATGCACCTCTGTCCTGAAGCATTGGAGCAGCTATGCTTTTGGGGTCATCCCCTTTCTCTTCAGTGTTCTGTCAGTGCCCCTAAGTCCTGACTTGCAGTTCTGACACTGAGTACTCGCTTAAGTGGAGACTGCTTTGGCAGTGAAGGTAGTGGACCTCTACAATGAAGTCCCATTTTTTTGCCAAAATCTCAGCATGAATTTGGATTTCAAGGTGAAATGCTGGAGCATTGATGAGCTTCTCATCTGTGAGGAACTGGGATTGAGAAAGGAATTGAAAATATCAGTGAGAGATTCCAGCATGCCTTGGCTGTTGCTTGCCAGCTCGATTCAGAACTGAAAGTTGATTGAGGAACTATGCAATCGTTGTCTTTTTAATGAATTGTCAAGGAGTGTCCAGACCAACAGGCATAAGCTTCTTTAGGCTAGGGACAGACATTCAAAAAGCCTGAGCCTGAATTGATTCAATCTTTGCAGGTTAATCTAACCTGGCTACGCTAAACCAGTTTGTAACAGCCCAGACATCCCCTCTGAACTGAAAAAATTCAGGCACATGCCTGCAGTGGCTCAGGCTAGAAGCCAGGGGGCACTAGAGCAGCCCTCTCATCCCTTCGACAATACTGAGCTGAGGGGAGTGTGGCCAGGCCCCAGCGGGACAATCTGATTAAGGAGAGGCCCCCCCTGAGCAGCCCAGCAGGGAGTGTTTATTACTCCTAACTCAGTGTTTATCAACCCCTTCAGAGAAGAAAGCCTTTCTCAAAAAGAAAGCCTCTCTTAGTTCAAGTCCAAAGTCTTAATCAGATTTTTCAAGGAAGGACATTACTAGCTACTTGTTGATTAGCTCCAAAAAACCTGTCTGCCTTTGCTATCTCCCACAGCACAGGCATAGCCAGCATGTGGTATAGAGTGGAGGGGGATATCCCTGTGTAAGGCAGAGGGGAGTGGGGAGCAAGGGGAAGCCGGGCAGATGCCTGCAGTCTCTACCGGAGCTCCAGCCAGGGAGCACAGGGGCGGGGCCAGCCCTGCTGGGCTGGAGCAGAGAGTCCAGCCCAGAGAGTATGCTGGGATGCTGTGAGAGTCTAGTTTAACTTGAACCAGGTAGGGATCTGGGACAGACATTGCATAAACTGGTTTGACCCAAATCAGTTAAGTCTGATATTACATTCAACCAGGTTTATCTTCAGCTGGTTTAAGCCATTTTCAAACTGGTTTATGTGTACTGAAAATCTGCTCTGTTACAGGTTTAAATCAGTTTCTGATCACTTAAACCGGTTTATGTGTAATGTCTGTCCCTAGTCTTGGAGTGGAAGTGTATATAAAATATGTAAATGAAATCACTGCTCTTCCCCAGGCATGCTGCCCTCTGTACCATGATGTCCCCTGAAGCAATTCAGTTAGTGTCTGCTAACGGTACCTTTAATTCACTCTATCAAGTCACTCAGAGGATGTGCCCATGCATTTATTTTTACCCTATTGTCTGCAGCATATTGAGTGCTCACAGGCCAACTCCTTACCTAAGGATCTGGCCCTCTGTGCTCTTAGTTCTTCTTGCCAAACTCACAGATGCAAGGTCCTAGGTACCTTAAAATAGGTTTTTTGGTTTTGTAGCAAATGTCAGAGGACGCTGATTTGACATTGGTGAGAAAAAAGGAATTATTGTTTCTAAAATATAAAAGCAGGATGTAATTATGATCCTGTTTGCATAGATGTAGCATTGTTCATTTAACTTCAGTAGTCTTGCATCGCATATAGTGTTGCTCATCTAATTTCAGTAGTCTCCCTAGATTTATCCCTATGGGACGCATCTGGATGTGCATAGATGTTTGGTTCCCTGGGGACAAATAGCAGCAGTGCACCTTGAACTGCCGCTTCTTGTCCTCGCAAACACCTGTTTGCAGTTTGCCTTGGGTGGGGTAGGGGCGTCTGGGACCCCCTACCCCACTGTGCTGGCCCCAGCAGCTTCGCCTGGGGGCTTCCCAGAGCTGCAGCCACAACGATCTTGCCAGACAGAGCGTGGCTGGCAGCTGCAGCACGGCTTCGAGCAGCCCGGCCCCACTTTTTAGCAGCGGATGCCGCCTGAGTGTGTGCTATTTCGCGTTTATTTCTGTGGATTTTTTTGACCCATGTAGAGCAGAATTTGGTCCATGATACTGAAATTACCTCTAACACCTCTGCATAGGCTCCAGGGTAGGTTTGGAGCATAAAAGCAAGAATAATGGAAGTGCCGTTATGGGGAAACCCATATTTTACAGATTGGTGTGTCTAGGACATAGGGGCAATCCTACTCCTATACTGCCCGTAGCATCTTTCATTGCAGAGACCCTCTGACTACTCAGCTTAATGTGAGAAACAACTGCATGGTATTTCAAGGTAGTTATTTGAATAAATCAAAAAACAACACATACTTGAACCTTTAATTTTACCAGGACCAGGCATACAACCATTCTAGCAGTTTATGCCATGCAGTGGTCTGCAGCTAAAGCTCCCTTAATCCGCTGCCTCCTGCCAAGGAATGAAACAGTAGCTTGTATACACCTAAGCGCTGATTGGTACTTCCAAATGTGGTGTGTTGGTATGTTTGAATCTTGGGCCTGCAGCACTATGAACCCCATCTCACTCTCTCTCACTGGTTTGTACACATTCATGGGCTGCATAATAGTTTAATAGCAGCCCCACCCAGCTCAGTCAGGAGAAGGATTTGCTGTGTAAGCTGTGTGCTGTGAGTGCCTCTGTGCTGTGCACAGCTTGCTGTTAATGAGTGCTGCGCTCTCATTGCAGGAGAGTTTAAAGATTATTTTACCTGAAAGTTCAAGTAATAAGAACTTGTTCTCATTCTTCTTCTGTCTTTGTTGCACAAGAAGCTCCACATCATGCAGTGACTGCATCTTGAGGGTCTGAGCTGTATTGCATCCTGATGCTATTTTGACATTCTCTCCTGACAGGATTCAGAATCCCTGGACAGCTGCATACAGAATACGTTATCAGTGCTCTACCCTCCATTTGAGGCCACAGCAGCCACTGTTCTGTGCCAGGTTTTTGATGTGGTGGAGAAGACTTACCGGGGGGATGGACTGCGCTACCTCATAGATTTCCTGATCCCAGCAAAGCACATCTTGCAGTGTGTTCAGCAGGATGCCTGTGTAAGTATGTCTCGCTCACAAAGCCTGTTTTCTGCTCTACAAGGACCTTTCCTGTAGCACTAGGACATAAAAGTCTTGGCAAAAATGATCAGTACAGTATTTGTTTATGTTTATGCCTGGATGGAGAGATGTTCAGAAGCTGGTTAGTGAAACTTGCCTTCCAGGAATAAAAAGGGGTTGGTGCCCCTCTCTACGTTTCTGTATAACCACAGGCCCTAAATGAAAGGCTTGAAGACTTGGAGGGAGGTTTAGCAGGGCCTCTTTCTGAAACATTTGCTGAGTTTGCCTGAATCTGGTAGTTTCTAACCCCTGCAATACATGGATTACATGGTCAGATTCCTGCTGCTGGCGGTCGAACGCTCTGGGTGAAGCTGTGCCACTCAGTGTTTTGCCCACAACTCTAGCTCCTCTTTGATAGTTGCTGGAACATTCACAAGGCTCAGTAGCCTCAAGGAGTCTCGTTGCATTACTGCTGCTGAGGCTCTGAGATTAACGTGTTCCACTGCTGCCAACACCAACTGTTTAAACTTGTGAGTCAGGTCCCACAAAATCAGAGGATAGCTTGAAATGTTAATTATAAAATTTGGGTTGTTTTTGCCTTCTGGTTTCTAAGTCTCTAGGGTGAACTCAGGTCGCGATTCCAACTTAATTCTCTGCAACCAGCTCTGTAGAACCTCACCTTTTTACAAAAATAAAAACTTATGTTACCATGAAATCCCCTGCTGCGGGAGCTGCGGTTTTAAGCAAACAACAGATATCACCAGTATTCTGATAAATTTGTGAGTGTTGGCAATACTGTAAATGTTGGGTCAACTTTTCAGTTCTTAGCCTGCAGCTGTGTATGAGCAATGCTGCATAGGCGTGCACACTCACATTATTACAAGTGGGTATGACAGCATGTTATTTCCATGCACAGATAAATGAGATTTGCACTTGAATAGCTCATAGGGTCTGCAGTCTATTGCTTGAAGGTAAAGGAGAGGTGGGTAAAATATAGCCCGAGGGCCAGATACGGCCTGCTAACTGATTAGATGCAGCCAGTGGGGATGCCCACCAGTTGACTGTCTGCAACTGCTCCTGCTGTGTCCTGCATGGGGCTCAGCCCCATCTGGAGTGCCATACTCCTGCCTGCATCTGCTGGCCCTCATCTGGGCCAGCATATACAGTTTACCAGAAGGGCTGCAGCCACTTGGGTGCTGTTTAGCTCCTCTTGCTTCCAGCGGTGGCTCCTCCTCCTGCTCCGCCTGTGCTGCTCTGGGTGGGGAGGAAACTTCAGCGGGTGGCTGCTGCCCCAGTGTGCTGGCAGCCAAGTGGATGGAAGGCAGCTGGGAGCTGGAGCCAGAGCTCTGCACACTGGGGCAGGAGCCACCCAGCTGAAGTTTTCTGTCTGCCTGGAGCGGCACAGCAGGAGCAGGAGGAGGGGCCGCTGCAGGAGGTGAGGGAAGCTGAGCAGCCCCTAGGTGGCTGTAGCTGTACTGGGAGCAGCCTCTCGGGTAAGTACTGTGGGGGCAGCCATAGACTGCATTGCTTTGGTGAGCTCTGCTGCGCATGTCCCCTGCCCCCTACTACCTCTCCTCACCCCTGGCCCGCTACGGGTAAGGCTGCACCTCCCACACACGTGTACCTGCCCCCCTAAATCCCCACACGGCAGGAGTGTGCAGGGAATGGATTGTAGCTCTGCCATGGGCCCCAGTCCCACACTGTGATCCTGGCCTTGCACGCCTGCCTTGCTCCCAAAAACCACTCCCCACCTGCCTGCAGCCCCATCCTGCATAGGAAGTTTTGTTTTGGTCAGCTGTTGCAGCAGATGGGGGGTGCTGACTGGGCCTGGGACAACGCATCAAAACTCATAATAATTGGCTACCCCCAATGTAAAGTGTGTGTGCAGGTTTGCAAACTGGCCTGATGTTTTGTCACAAAGAGCACAGGCCGTTGGAAGGTTAACGGGAGCCTTCCTGGGTGAGGGACCCACTGTGGCAGATTTGGCTACAGGGTTTCAGGGAATCAGTCGGCAGTTCTAGAAAGAAGCCTATTCTTCAGCCCCGAGCGTTGGGGCCTGAGGCTGGAGCTGAGGGGTGGACACCGCTCCACCCAGAGGACAGGAATCCAGCTGGCTCTTGGTGGTTGCTCCCATGGGTTTTTTCCTTTTCTTTTTCTTCTTTATTTTTTGTTGAAAACCTTAAGTCTAGGGCATGCTGGAAAATGTAATTCCCTCTGCTAGGCCCATAGCCTGAGACTCTGGCAAAACAAGCTGGGAGATAAGTGGTATATAAAAAAGGGATTGCACAGGTTGAGTGAGTGTCTTGGAGTTGGCCCCGCTTGGGTAGCAGCCTTCCCCGGGTTTCCAGGCTATGTGGTTGTTTTGGGGGCGTCCTTGTAGACAAATGCCTGGTGTTGTGAGCCCTGGTGATTGCATGAGAGAGTCTGGTCCTTGCAACCAGAGCTCCCCATGTGGGCAGAACCCACTGTCTTGTCCACCTACCAGGGAGTTTTCTTTTGAAATCCTCAAGGGGGAAGAAAGCCCCCTCTTCCAGCTTGCTTGTCACGCCTCCGGCCTGCTGGGAGTAGGACAGCCTCTCCGGCTGCTGCGGTGAGTGAATGTGGCTGTTTCCCTCCCTCCCCCTGACCAGAAGCTGTACCCAGCCCCTGAGGGCAGAGGATGAGAGAGCAGCCTGCACTGCTTTCCCAGTCAGGGAGGAGGCAGGGGGCAGCAGTCAGCTGGGAGCCTTCTCCTTCCACTCCACCCAGCACCTGGCTGTGCCCCCTCTCCTGCCCTTCCTTCTGTGAAGCACCTTTCTCTGTCCTCCCCTGTCTGCCCCACCCCTGAGAGCTCAGGCAGACGTGGCTTGACCTGCTCTGGCCTGGGAAGGGGATCTGCATCCGCTGCATCTATCCTTCCCTAGGGCCTGCGGCACAGAGACACCCTGGTGCTTCCCTCCTCTGGCCTGTCAAGAGGGTAAAGAGCCTCTTTCTACAGTTACAGGAGGATCAGAGGTGAGCTCAGGGGCCAGGAACAGGAGGGGCACAGAGTGGCTTTGCTTGGGGGCTTCAAGAAGTTGATGTAGGGCTGAGATGGGGGCAGCATTAAATGAGATGGGTGCATGGAAACCACAAGTGCATTATTCCATAGGTGACTTCAGAGAGTCAGTGACGCTGTCATATTCACACAAACAAACCCTCATATACAGATAGAGAGTGAGCAAGTGAGGCAGGCTCAAACAGAAGTAGACAGATCAAAAGCTTGTGATAAGCCACTGGAAGGCTGGCTTATTTTTTATTTGAATTCCTCAAAAACAGCCTGTTTTTTTATTGTCATAGAGTTCCATCAGCTAGACCTGGAACCTCGGCCCCCCGTTGAGCCACCACACACCTTTTACATTCTTAGCTCCAGCTTGTAATTAGGAAGCAGTGGCAGCACTTAAGGAAAATGGAAATACCATCACAAATTGAGATATCAAAATGACTAAAGTAAATCCCTTGATGTGATAGTTCCCTTTGAAAGTGCACTTTAAACTATTAAAATGGGTGCATTAAATACTTTTGGATTTTAGGGTGTTAAAAGTTTTACGTTCTTGGTTTATAATATGTTTTTTGCTACCTCTGTTTAAGCCCAACATTTTTCAGTGATGTTTCTGAAGTCTGCATCTCTCAAACCCTAGTGAGGTCTGTGTTTTGATTTGTTTAGATCATTTTATCACTCTGCTTTTCCATTTGTTTTAGCTATTCATTGACCAGTAAGCAGGCATGTTCATATGCATCAAGGAATATGGATTTATTTAAGGATGGCCCTAAAATAAAATATAAGCTTTGGTGGAATCTTCTAAATGAAATTCTGTATAGTGGTCCCAGTGAAAATCAGCTTAAATAGGTATGGCCCAAACTAAATTAGTGATGTGCCTCGGTTTTCAGTAAGATAGATGACAGAGAAAAAGACAGCAAAGATAAAATAGCAAACAGGAGTTACTAGAACTAGGGTGGAAATAAAACTCCAAGAGCTTAATACACTCAGTTGCCATACCTGGATGGTAAAGGGATTATAAACTGACTATCTGATTGATTTAACTTGTAAATGGGAGCATCTACATGTTTATTAATGCACTGTAGTTACTACACATTTAGTTTAGTACTTCCTTAATGAAGGACAAACTGAATGCTCAGTAACTACATTTACCGCACAGGAGCACTGGCTCATGGTTTTTTTGTGACGGTTACTTTGAAAAGAATTTGGGGATTCATGGTGGATAGACAGTTCAGTGGTATGGCCAGTATGCCTAATGTGGTTTTTGGATTTACAATGAGAAGGACACTGAGCAGAAGTAGAGAGATTAAATTACTTAGGTATTTGGCGCTAGAGTGACTGCTGCTTAAATATTAAGTCTGGTTGTGGTGTCCAGAGTTCAAGAAGGGGGTTGGTAAATTGGAGAGCGTTCAGAAAAGAGCCCTAAGGATGATTGAATTTCTGGAGTCGTTTGCTATCATGCTGTTTTCCAGCTGTTTAATTTGCTGATTTTGACCAAGATGAAATTAAGGAAAACAGAAATGTGATAATAGAAGGCTATTTCTTTTAGCTGTCAAAGCCATAACAAGTTCAGATGGCTGGAAATTGAAGTTAGGGAAATTCAGACTAGAAATAAAGCACACATTTGTAAGTCAGGGTCATTAGCTATTGGAAGAGACGACCGTACCAGGGCAAATCCGCCTGTGTGAGGCCTGGATATGGTGGTGGCGGTAAGGAGAGGGGAGTAGCGAGCGGCTGGACGCAAAGCCATCCTGGCTCTGCGGGGCCCTGCAAAGTGCGGGGCTCAGTGTAGTCGCCCTGATTTGTTGCCCCCCACCCAGGAACGGCCCTGGTTATTGGAACACTTTACCAAAGGTCATGGTGGATTCTCCCAACACGCCGCTTTGAAATTGGACAGGGAAGGGGAGGAGTTTAGATAAAAACCTACCACCCTTCTTTTCAGATCAGATTTTCTATTTCTCAGTGCTGGCCTTCACCAGAGGTCACTGTTGCAATGGGTGTGGGCAAAAGCAGAGCAGACAGTCCCAGCTGCCTAGCTTCAACATTGCACCTGGTAAAAGCCATTTTCTTTCTGCCACCTTGGATGAGTCAGAAAGTGGATAGACATGCAGGAAGATGAATAAGCATTTGGGTGTGGAGATGCTCTAGCCTGTGCGGGATACTGCGGTGTGGTTGGAAGTATGGGCGACTGGTGCCTCCCGAGTCTGGGGGGGCACCAGATTGCTGACCGGGGTGGGGATGGATTCCCGAGCCCAGAGCCACCATCAATGAAACTGGCAAAACTGAAAGGGCACTTCCGCCAGCACTTCCAGTTTCACAGCTGGTGCTTCCAGGGGTGCACAGCCAATCTCAGGGGGTGCACGTGTACCTGCATGCACTCCCTGTGTATTGCAAATTGTTGAAAGCATGAGTGAGGATGGGGAGTACAGAGTGGCAGCAAGGCCAGTGTGGATCTAGGGGAGGAACTGCTGAGGAGAGCATGTGGTTCTCCTTAGGAAAGAACCTGGGAATTGACTACCTGGCAATCCCAGCTCAAAAGTATTTCATGGCAAATGGAGGGTATTTCCCCACAGCTTGTTGACAGATGGCGCATTGCCCTGCCCGTCAGTAGCTCTGCTTTGCTGCCTTCATCTGAACTTCTCTTCATACTTGCACCTCTTTCAATCAGCCAGTGGATTGCAGTGGTCTACTCCTCTTAGCCAGAGGTATTTTTGCTTTTGCCTTCCAAGATTAGATCCACAAATGGTAGCAGTTAAACTGTATTTTTTACTAGGTGCTGTGTTCCCGTGCAGGTTTTAACCATGGTCTTTGAAATGATGCTTGCCCTCAAACTTCTATCTGAGAAACAAAGCTTAATCCAGGAGAAAAGATTAAATTCTTTGACAGGCTTTGTACTGACCACTCCTGCATTCTTTGCTGTTACATGTTTCAATTTTCTCCATGTCCCTCTGTAAACTGCTCCTCATCCATGTTGTATGTTATACATGTTATATGTTAAGTGTTATATGGAACACTTGTCTGGAAGTAAGAAAGCAGCAAGCCTGGACCCGCACTGTGGTCACCTTGCATGTTGAAACCTGCATCTAGGGTAGATTGTGAACTCCTTAAGGCAGCAATGCATCAGCTTTGCTTGCATAATCACACTGTCAGACATCAGGGCCAAATTCAGATTGGTTCCTTAGGTAGCAAACAGCATTTAGTTAGAATTTAGCTGCCTAAGTTCCAAGGAACAATTCACGTTGTGGCTGGAAAGCACGAGCACCATCTGTTAATTGCGCTCAGACTGTACCAAACATGCATTCACAGCTAGATGGTGGTTGCAGTGTTGTCTGCTCACCCAGGAGGCAGGAAACCTAGGCTATAGGCCTTCCTCAGCCTGAGCAATTTCAAATCCACACCTCCCATGTACCAGGAGAGTGCCCTAACCATTAAGCTGCTGAGTAGAATAGGTGATGGTTCTGTTCATCCAGTCTGTTGAAGCTAGGTCACTCCATTGCCAGCGGCACAAGAGTTGGGCACCAGAAGGAGAGCTATCAAGAGGGAGCATCTCCTCATAGCTCACTGTTTATGGAAGTTCCTGAAGGAACCGGGGGGAAGAGGGGTGTCCTGGAATCTGGTTTCCCACTGCCAGGGTTATTTCTTTTTTTTAATGCAAATACATAGAAGATCCTAGCAACAGCAGTGGGAACCCTTCTCTCCCAGGGGAGTGTACCATACTAGTTGGGACCTCCTGCTTACTCCAAGCACAGTCTGTGCATTTTACATTAAACAGTTATTGGTTAATAAAAAGGAAATGTCCCTGGAAGCAGGGGTCAAAGCTTAGGACTCTCCCCTCTAATGGGAGTGCCATAACCACTAGAAAACAAGAGTGTTTCCTATTGCTTGTTCTCCTTTTGGTGCCATATGTGTTTTAGAATTGACTGCTGATAGACCAGCATCAGTGGGAGGGGAGAAGGTACTTTGACCCAGCCAAAAATGTAGCCTGGAGGTTAGGGCACCTTCCGGAAAAATGAGAGATGGCTTTGAATCCCTTCAGGCTAGGGTTGGCCTATAATCCAGGCTTCCCACTTCCTGAGTGAGTACTCAACCTCTTCTGGGCAAAAAACGGGCACCACCATCATACTAGTCACGAGAGTTGGGAGTGGTTCTAATGCAGAGATGGGCAGTTATTTGGTCTGGAGGACCACTTCAGGAGTTTCAGCTGTTGTGTAGTGTGGGGAGGGGGTGTTGGCAGGGGGGCAATTGTTCCTATCTGGCCCTGGGCCTGTCTGCCCTGTACCCACAGTGTCAGTGTTGCTGGCTGAAGCAGGCAGGTGGGTGGCGTCTTCATAGAGACTGGTCTGGGACCCCTACGGGTTGGGCACGCTTGGATGGGCTGGGGCCACAGGTGGGCAGGGAGTGGGATGGGTGAGTGGGGTTGGAGCTATGGCTGGGATAACAGGATGGTGACAGTGCAGGGCTGGGGCCCAAGGCAGAGCTGTGATATGATCCCCACATGTCCCTGTAATGGGTGCCAGTTCCATGGGCAGGGATGTGTGGGCAGCAGATTGTGGTTTTGCCCCAGGCCTTGGCCTGATGTTACTGCCCTACAATCCTATCCCCACCCACTTGTTCCACTCCTGGATGTTTCTCCCTGCCCCACATGACCCCAGCCTATTTGCCTGGCTGAGTGCACCCTGTCTGTGGGGGTCTCAGGCTGATCTCCACAGAGATCCCCACCCACTAGCTCCGTCTGGTGCCCCTGGTGGTGGGTGCAGAGGAGGCTGGCAGCAGCAGTTGAACATCCTTGGAGGTAAGGGCAGAGACAATGGGGATGGCAGGAGGCTCCTAGGCCTGGGTATGACTTGAAACTGCACCGTGCTGGGGAAGGATGGCCTGGTGGGGCTGTCTATGGCAGGGTAGCTCCCCAGAAATGACAGGCTAGTTACTTTTCCAGTGAAAGGCAGGTAGGGATGCCTTATAATCCCAGCCCCCACTACTCAGTGGGTAATTATAAGTAGGAACAGACGGTGAAGGGTGTCAGGCACACCTATAGAAGCACCTGAGCCCCATGAGGGGGGATGTATGACCTCAGAGGCCCCAGATAGAGAGGAGATAGTAGTATGGCCCCAGAGAGGGGGCAATAGTGTGTGTGAGGCCCACACAGAGTAGGGTGCATGGTGGCGGCCTGAAGAGCTGTGTCAGGAGGCTGTAGAGTAAGGTTTGCATGGGTGGACCTGAAGGGCTGCACCAGGGAATTTGCAGAGTAGGGTTGGTGGGCAACCTGAAGGACTCCACTGGGTCCAGCCCCCACAAGAATGTATATGAGTTGCCTGGAGAGGGGCTAGAGGCTGAGTTTGGCTCAGTGTGAGATATGAGGCTGGTGTCCACACGTAGAATAAGCCCTGCGCAGGGGCAGCCTGAAGAGGCTGTGTCAGGCCCACTTAGAATGAGACTAGGTAAGCCCAAAGGCATGTGCAAAATGGAGGGCACAGGGTAGGGTAGCTTGAGAGTGGCCCAGTGAAGGACGGTATGAAAGATGCCCAGTGAGAGGGGGTGGAGTGCAAGAGGCACGGTGAGAGTTGGTGGTTCGAGTCCTCACTCATGCGGTGTGTAAAGGGTGGTGTGTCAGGAAGAATGGCAGAGATCTGGCAAGAGGCAGAGTTTGGCCTGGCCTTAGGCCAGAGCTATCAACAACTTATGATGCCATCTGCGAGGCATGGGACACGGGAAGGGAAGGTCAGAGCCGTGTAGCATGCCCTAGGCCTTGGGCAGTAAAAATGGGTAGCTTCCCGCACATTACATCCATTTTATTAACCATCAAGTTGTGTCAGGAAAGGCAGGGCAGACTGCCCTAGACAGGGGGGCAGGCCACTGTTAATATCTGGTCCTGATGTGGCCTCTTGGCACATGCAGAAGGCCCAGTGTGGATGCTTAAGGATCTTTGCAGTCCAAAATAGGGGCACCTAATTGAGATTTGTGGCTGGTGGCAAAAGTCCAGATTGAATCGTTCCTTGGAACTTGGTTGCTAAATTCCACCTCAAACTTATATTGTGTTGACTGTTAGTGAAGTTCAGAATATTTTGTTTTTCTTTTTAAGTTGAAAAGAATACTGATCTACCTACCTGCGAAATTATGAAGTTCCAAGTATTACTAGGAAATCTGTTGACCATAACTGTATTATTGCTACAGTGGTATTTTGACACAGAGACATTTGCCATTACCAATGCTAGAAATATCTTTTCTTCTCTCCGTAGGTTCAGTACTATGGCTTGCTGTTCCGCCATGAAGGCTGGCCTCTGTGTGTCCATGAGAAGATTGTAGTCCAGCTGGCTTCCATTGACTGGCGAGCCCTAAAGCCTGGTGACTTCTACCTGCAGGTGGTGCCCTACCTGAAGAAGTCTCCACGAATAGTACTGAAATGTTTGGCAAGGGACAAACATAATGTGGAGGAAGTTGTGGTCCCAGAAGTCTCCTACACTTCTATTTTCACTCTGGAATGGCTGGATTCCATCAATGGAGAACGAATGGGTACAGTACTGGAAAATTGTTTACTAGCCACTGATGATAAAATATTTCGGGTTCCATGGGATAAAATTGTTAATCCTGAATTTATTGATAAACCTAAGCTAACTGAAAATAACATCACTGATCTCATGGAAGAATCTTCAATTTTGTGCTTTCCAGTGGAGCATCCCACATGCAACTCACCAACTCCAGGACCTCAAGATTTTCAGGAGCAAAAAGTGACACAAGTCAGTTTGGTTGTTAGCAGGAGAGCCCAGCAATTGGACAGCCCCATTTTCAATGGTAATAGTGCAACTTCTGTGCCTCAGGAGAACTCCGAAAGTGACCCAGAAGGGGAGTATGTAGAGCTTACAGATGTTTTGTTGCCAAGATTTGGGCCACAAACAGGGTCCTTAACTCAGTCAGTTGCCTTAAATTATAGGACCCAACCCAGAACAAAAGTGAATGTATCTAAGGACAAACAGAGGCATATTGTCATTCGAGACAGTAGCACATGCTCAAAGAATTTGGTTCATTCAGCACTTATGCAAAACGAGCACAATCAAACAGACGCATTGCGGACTTCTTACTCAGAGGTGCTAGAAAACGTAATTCATTTAGAAAACAACAAAATGATGGGACACAGGGAAATGTTACAAAAAAATCAGCCAGAATCAGGTGTCCCTGGCCACGTGGGGAATTCAGATTCCAGCTGTCACATGGATGCGTATCCAGATAGCAATGCAGAGGGCCCATCCAGGCAAGAGGCACAAAGTGAGCACTCAATAGACTGGAGGTACGCAATGTGCAGTTACAATGATGCTTGTGCTGGAGACAGTGCCGAGTGCAAAACACAGTTCGTAGAGAGTCCTGGGAAAACAGAAACTGAAAATGATCTCTCAGGTGCAGACACTGGTAAGGGAGCTTCAGAGCAGAGCCCAGGAGCACTTGCAGAGGATGTTACCACTAAGGAGGAGCCAGTGCAGTCAAGAGACCCTGAGCACAGTGAGAGCCCCGCGGGGGGGGTGTCTGCACTATCAGTCAGAGAAAGTTCCGGACCACGGCACAGGCATGAGGGGGGCTCTGAGAACAACTGCCAGACCCGTCATGGAAGTGCTGTTCTCCCCTCAACACCAGCCCAGGCAGCCACACCATCCACACTTACATCAGTATCCTCAGAGATGGCAGAGGGCTGCTCCCATTCATTAGAGAAAATGTCAGGTAAAATTGAACACAGTCACTGCAGTGATCAGCAGGCAGAAATGAGTCCTCCATTAAGTCAGCCTGAAGAGTTGAACCAACGACAAGTGGACCTGTTAAGAGAGTTAAGCTGTAGCACTGGGAGAGTCTGCAGAGAGCCTGAACAAACATGCCCTGGGAATGAGAGGCAGAACGGCCATAAATCCTCCTCTGCTGTCGAAGAGGAGATTGATGGACATTTGTCACAGGATAAGGGACAGGAGGTCAGGGGCTGCATACAAAAGAAGGCTGAAGAAGACAAACCACTACAAACCACTGGACCAGTGGAGAGCAATCAGCCAGGGGAGGAGCCAGATGACAAGAATAGCCCTTTGGACACTGGTTCACAAGCTGAGGGCGCCAACCAAATTGAAATGCAAGTGAGTGGAGATAGAGGCAAGGAAGCACAGTGCTGTATGGAAACTCAGGCTCATAATAGTGAAGTGAACTTCCGGCTTTTGCAACCCACCAGGGAAGAGGTTGACCTGGATCCTGTGGCAGGGCAGGATTTGCAAGGAAATGAGGAGAACAAAGCAGAGTTGTACAGAAGGTGTGCTCCAAAGCCTGGGCGGGAATCTGCAATTTTAGAATCTGTAGATGGGCTGAATTCCAATGCAGAGGGTATGGAGGCCTCATCACCCCCTTCAGCATTTTCTGATGAGGATACTAATAAGCAAATAGAGTTGATTGAAAAGAGCGGTAGCACAAACCTCAATGCTCCGAAATCCAAGCCAGAATCACCTTCTGAAGCTTCATCTCTTCAAAGTAAGTACTGATGCTTTGTGTGTGGGTGTGGGGAAGGGGCACATGTGTATGGACATGTAGACCAGGGGTGGGCAATAATTTAGGCCGGAGGGTCACTTAGGGAGTTTTAATGAGCTATTGCGGACCACGTCAGCACCCCTTCCCCTCCCTCCTCTGCCTGCAACAGCTCACCAAAACTCCCCTAAAGTGGCCCTGCCCCAGGGCCCAGCCTGGCTAAGTGCTGTCACTGCCTGGCAATCCCCAGGGCTCTATGGAGACCAGCCTGGGACCTGCACAGGCAGAGCAGCTGGGCAGATAGGATGGGGCCATGGGTGGGTGGGGTGTGGGATGGGCAGGTGTGGGTGGGATCATGGGGTGGGATCACAGGGTGGTGACAATACAGGGTCAGGGCCTGGGACAGACCTGCAATTTGCTCCTGGCAGCCCCCTGCCTGCAGAACTGGCTGCTCATCACACTGGGTGGGCAGAGTGGATGAAAAGTGGGTGAAAGCTGGAGCCCACATGCTAGGGCAGCAGCCGCCTGGCTGCAGCTTTCCCCCTGCCTGGCTGGGTGTGGTTGCCCAGTGTGCTTCCCCATGGCTTCTGCTTCCATGCGCTACGTGCTGCCCAGCATAATGCAGCAGGGGCAGGAAGAGGAGCCGCGGGAGGGGGGGGAGCCGAGCAGTCCCTGAGTGGCTGCATTAAGAGCTGCCCTGCCAGGAAGTAGTGCATGCTGGCTTGGGCTGTTGGCGGGAGTAGGTGGGGCTCAGCCCCATGTGGAGTGCTGTGGGGGCAGCCACAAGCTGGATCCAGTCAATTGGTAAGCTGGATCTGGCCTGCAGGCCATATTTTGCCCACCCCAATGTAAACACACACATATGGAGCCTTGCAAAAGCTCACTCTGAAAAATAGGTACCCTCTTGCGGGGGGAGGGGGGTGTGCAAGGTGGAAATGGCAAATTTAGCTGATTTTTGTAACTTACACCATGTATTTCTATACCATTAGACCAGGCAATAGATATGAAAGGATTCTGTACGCATTCTCCTCAATGGTATAAATGTGTGAGATGGGAGACAGGGTTCTTTGGATAAATCTGATATCTTTTCTTAGACCAACTTGGATAGATGAAAAAACTCTCCTCAGCAAGCTTTCAGGTATAAATGCTCTTCATCAGTCTGAGGAGGCATCTGCAGTTGGTGTTGGCTCTTCCTGAATGGAATGAATAGTAAAGAAGCCAGGAATTCATTCCATCCAGGAAGAGCACACACCAACTGCAGATGCTTCCTCTGCCTGACAAATGGTATTTATACCCAAAAGGTCGCTAAAGCATTTTTCCAACTATCCGAGTTGGTCTAATAAAAGATATCAGATTTACCCAAAGAACCTTGTCTGCCTACATCCTTAGACCAACATGGCTACACACTATACCCCTGTGATGGGAGAGACATTTTTGTCATCTAGAATCATTAGGTCTTGGAGTTACCATACTGTTCTCAAGTGAACTGAGCATAGATATTTTGTCCAGCTCAACACTACAGATTTTTAAGCTTCTGTGGAGCAGATTTTTTATAATTCCATTTTACCAGTGAATTGCTGTAACCTCTTTTTCCTCTGATAGTGTGCACATTATAAATACACTCTATAGAAATGTTTAACAATAACATATAATTTAATGTCCTTTTAATAATCGATGGCTGGGTTATTTGGGAGGCTGCTTGGGGCAGGAACATCAGCAGCACAGGCAATAAAAAGACAGACAGGCTTTGTAACATGGTTTAAAGATCAACAAATTTGGGCTTTGGTGAATCAGTGAAGGGAGGAAATTGTAGAGCTGAGGACAAACCCAAAATGCCTATCTGCCAGCTGTCCTATGATTAGAGCATGGGATGTTGAGCTTCAGTGCATTAGTTAGTCTCATTTTTTCACTAGGGAAAATGAAGCTTGACAAAGGTAGAGGAGGCTGAACTCAGGTCACACAGTGCATCCCTGGCAGTCCTGCAGTTAGGCTCCAGAGCATCTGATTCCCAGGTTTCTGCATTAAAGAAACCATCCTCTTTCTCCTGAGAACCAATTATGCAAATCTAATTTCAGTCTCCAGCCCCAGGTTACAGGCACACAGCCTATATTCAGACAGGGGGCAGAGCCAGCAGCATGGCTTTAGGAAGCAGCAGAACTGCAAATCTAGACATTCAGATGAAATCCTGTGGAAAAACTGTGGGCACATGCCATTCTAGTTAGACAGCTCCAAATGAATGAGCCCACATCTGGGGTTGGGATAGTAGAATAAAAGGACACTTGAAAAGCTCACGGAGTCAAATCTAAGGGATTGCATCAGCTAGAGAACATGTTGACCTTGCGCAGATACAAATCTAGAGAAAATGATTGATTGGAGTCTCATGAAGTACAGGAGAGCTCTTGTATTGTGCCTGTATTGTATATACACACTCCTCAGTTTCTTTGCTGCATTGTCCACAAATGAGCCAGGAGAACTGTTTGCAAGCATGATTATTAACAAGCTATGTTGCAGCATGTCTACACACTTCAATAAAAGTAGGATTTAATTATGTTCCTGTAATTAAGCTATGGTCTTGGCCAATGTGAGGTGGAGAAATAGGTTACCTCTGTACATAGGTACGGCAGAGTTAAATCTTCTAAGACAAAATGCACTATGATAACTGGGCTCCTCAACTGTCATAAATAAAGAAGAGACTGAGATTTTGTGTTTGGAAAAGTGGCACATCAGCAGCTTTGAAAAAATAAAGTTCCCTCTCTCACTGGTAGTTTTCAGTAAAGGGGAATTTCCCCAGATGTTGCCACTGTGTTGGTGTGCATCAATTCTGACCAGAGACACCCACACTAGTAATTTATTCTCTGAGCCCATTCACTCTGTGGTTTTTTAGTGGTAGATGCCAGCCTGTAACAAGTATGATGTAGACTCCTGTCGTGTGGCGGGCCAGTAGGGGGCGCTCCTGCATTGAGCCCCCCACCTCCCTGCGCCCGACCACCTTCCAGGCTCTGAGTGCCTCCCTAGGGGTGCCTCGTGTCCAGCTGTTCCCCTTCCTGGAGCACACTCGCTAGCCTGGGGGTAACATAAGCTGCTACCACCCCGAGAAGGGACTGGCTCAGCCCTGTGTCTTCAGGAAAACACAGGCCTAATAGTCCTGTGGGTACTCGACCCAGTACAGGTACTTCGGGCACTTCCCCAAGTCGGGGGCCAAAAAGGAAAGTCTCCCTTAGTCCACAGACCTAAGGGGCCTCTTAGGCATAATTTAGACCCACCCCTCAATAAGTCTTCTACACCGGTCACAAAGGAGAACTTTATTGATTACAGGGGTAGAGTGAAAATAGGGTACAGGATAGAGCGATCTCATAGAAATCCCATAGAGCAAAACAGTCTGGCTGAGGTAGCCTTTTGATCACGCATCTGAGTTACTGCCAGCTAGATATCTAA